GGGAGTTCTGGAATATTGCCACCAGTACCTTCACCATCTCTTTGTACTTCTTTTAAAAGCCTTGGATGCAGGTCATCAGGTCCAGGCAACCTGATTACTTTTTGTCCTATTAGTTTGTTTAATACCTATGTCCTTCGTGACAGAGGCTGTAACAAGACCTTTCCTCTCATTAGTGCCTTGCTTATCTGTTATTTTTGGGATGTTTACAGTGTCCGTCACCATGAACAGATGCAAAATTTTGGTGTACATTATCTGTCCTATCCATTCTCCAGGTCATAAATTCTCCAATTAGATCCTCCTTACTTTAGCTACTCTTTCATTTTATATACCGAAAGAAGCTTACTTGTTTATATTTATGTTTCTTGCCAATTTACTTTTGTAAATCATTTTTTTCCTGCTTTATTAGCTTTTTAGTCATCTGCTGCCGGTTCTTAAAAATCGCAAACCTTAGGCCTATCATTAGTTTTTACCACTTTGCAAGCCTTAGTTTTTGATCGCACACTCTCCTTGATTGCTTTTGTTATCCACTGGTAGTTCATCCTTCTCGGAGTCTCTCTCTTTTGACAAGAAAATTTTTTTGTTCAATGTTGTGAAATATCTGTTTAAATGCCTGCTGCTGCTCATCCAATGACATTTTCCTTAGTGTATTTTCCCAGCCAACTTTGGACAACTCTTTCTTCATACATCAGTAATTGCCCTTGTTTTATTTGAGGACACTGGTTTCAGACCCAAGTCACTCTCCCTCAAACTAAATCTGAAATTCTACCATGGTGTGATCACTACCTGCAGAGGTTCCTAAACAATGTGACCTCCTATTAATAGATCTAAAATAGACTGTTCCTGGCTAAGTTCTGGAAGATACTGTTCCAAGAAATAATCCTTGATGCACTCTACAAATCCATCTTCCAAATTGGAGAATTCTGGGGATTTTAAAAATCATTAAAATTTCAAATTTTGTGAAGACTCCAGGAATACAGGCGCTTCGTTTGTAGCGCACCATCCCAGCAAAATGTGACATCTATCTGAATATGTGCAGAATTTTGTAACAAAATAAACAGCCTTAAGCTTTGACTTTCTAGCCATTATTACAAATCTGATTCTAATTTCTGCTGCACTCTTCTGCTTATTTTTCTACTCCTTTCTGTCATTCAGTTCTTCACTACCCTGCACTTCTGGTCTCTCATTTCTTTTCGATTTTTTTAAACTTCAAGGGAGGTTGAAAAATTGAACCTGCCTCTCCACAAATTACAATCCTTTACTTCTGTATCATAGAATTGTATCATAGAATCCCTACAGTGTGGAAACAGGACCTTCGGCCCAACCAGTCCACACGACCCTCAGAGCATCCCACCCAGACCCATCCCCCTAAATCGACACATCCCTGAACACTATGGGCAATTTAGCATGGCCAATCCACCTAGCCCGCACATCTTTGGACTGTGGGAGGAAACCGGAGCACCCGGAGGAAACCCACACAGACACAGGGAGAATGTGCAAACTCCACACAGTTGCCCGAGGGTGTATCGAACCCGGGTCCCCGGTGCTGTGAGGCAGTAGTGCTAACCACTGAGCCACCGTGCACAAAACAGTTTGGGTGACCATGTGCAAATAAAAGCTGATGTACGGGTATAAAACTTAGGTTATTCGAATGTGGCATTTATATCAAGTGGCTGGACTACAAAGGGGATGAAGTTTTGCTTCAGTTGTAAAAGAACCTTAGTCACACTCCGTCTGAAATACTGCACTGAGCACTGAGACTCAGGAAAGATAAACAGGCCTATGAAGGGATACAGCAAAGATTCACGGAACAGTGCCACTGTTTAACAGTTTAAAATTATGGAGAACATGTTGCATGCATTTGGTGTGTACTCGCTTGAGTAATTGAGATATTTAAAACCATAAATGAACATTAAGAAACTATTTCCTCATCTTGGGGGATATCTGGGCTGGGCTCTCTGGAAGGTAGCAATTTTTCTACATAATGTAAAGTGCACTCCTGGCACTTGGCCTCTCAAAAGGCCAAGAATGCAGGGTTAATTCAAGACTGAGATTAAAAGATTGGGACATACAGGTGGGGCTGAGTTTTACCCTTTCCACACCAAAGGGGCAAGTTATCAGGCACAGAGAACTGAATGGAATACCATAGGCACCTGCCTGCCCTCCCCGACCATAACTGTGCCCTCTACATGGGAGGTATCCAGTGGCATGACCATCTGTGATCCAATCTCAGGCCCTTAAATGGGCGTCGTCCTGCCACCCTCACTCTTATTTTTGCTTTGGCCAGCAGAGGTCAGCACCAAATACAAAATTAATCACTCACTGCTCAGGCCAATCACGGGCACAGCAATCAATCCCACTGTCCGCCATTCACCCTCCACATTTCCAATCCACAGCCTGTCTAACCCAGCAACAACCCCGCTTCACCTCATCCTCACTCACTCCATCCCCAACTCTGGTCAGCCTGGCCTTCTCCCAAATTATCTTTCCTTCTAGTTGAAAGGACAATTGCTTTTGGGGACTGGATGCAATCCCAGCAGTGCTGCTGAATTTGGATAGCATGTGTGTCAGAAAAGGGGAACTCTTCTGAGAATACAGCTAACAGCACTGCAGCTTTTCTTCTGGTTGAGGGTGGAGGTGATGAAGAACAGAGAGAGAGAGAGAGAGAGAGAGAGGACAGAAAGAAAGAAAGGAAGAAGGGATAAAAGGGAGGGGGAGGAAGAAGGGATAAAAGGGAGGGTGGGGGAAGGGATGGGGGGCAAGAAGGGATAAAAGGGAGAGGGGGGGGAAGAGGGGAGGAGGGGGGAGAGAAAGGGAGAGAACTGAAAATATTCTTGGAAATAAAATAAGTTTTAAAAAGTTTCAAAATTGTATTAATTCATTTTGCAACAGCTCCATAACTATCTTTTTTCAGCCAGTTCTGTTACTTATCATATTTTATTAACCACATTACTGTTGAAAACGCAGATACATCTGACTGAACAAGATGCAACTTATTAAGGGGGTTCTGACTTCGATATGCGGACAGTAGAGTTGACATTCTCACTGACTTCAATTACTGTTAGCTCGATAAGGCCACAGTGCAGCGTGTGCTTGAATCCTGAGTGACAGACTGCATCTTCACTGTCTGTACATGTCTACTATCCTGAGGTTACACCAGCTTCCCAGGACTGTAATGTGGGGAAATGCTTACAGTTTGCCACTGAGCCTCCCTATCCTGCCTCTCTAACCCCAAGCCAACTGCAATTCTGTCCCATAAAGTCCCTGCAATAATTTTGAAGTCAACATGGAGATGTATACATTGATTTCTTTTGTCAAGGAAATGTAATATCTTACGTACTTAATTTCCATTTTGTCAAAGGAACAGGTCTAAAATTAAAATGAAGAAATTGGAACAAACAGGGAAGAGCTAAATTTATGTTAATCTGCTAATTTAATCAGGCGTTTGCCTTGCAATTTACTCTCAGCACTCCTCGTGTTAGATTAGAAAAGGGAGTTGCTGAAAATGATTCACTGTGATAGTTAAGACAACCCCTCAGGATTCTCCTTAGCCTCTGCAGAATAACAATTTGTGAAAGTGCTTAAGAAAATTAATATAGTTTGGCACATCTGTTTAACACAAGGTCACTAAACAAAGTCTGCTTTGAAGTTACGATTGGAATGTCAAGAGGTTCACATTAATTCTCTCTGTATAATACTTTATTTCTTTCTGGATATCAGTTTTCTTTACAAATATGTACCCAAGGATTAAGAAAAATAAATCCATGCACATGCTTTCTCCGAAAGGAAAAAAAAAGAATGAGAGATCGCTGTAATAATTCACTCTTAAAAAAATAAACATTTTCATAGTATGGTGTGATAAGAGATGAGATTGTTACATGCCGCACTGTACTTTCAACTTACATCTTCACAAACTTTGATTTACACCACAATCAGTGGGAAAGCAGTAAATAAATAGTTACACAAACTGAAAATATCATAAAAGTCTGCAATGATACTGGAATTTTAGTTTAACTTTAGTTTTCAGTTGACATTCCCCCAACCCACAAACAAACTTCATGAGTCTTGTTCTCAAGAGTTTAGATGTCACATAATACTTGATTGAATTTACAGGAATTCATCTATCATTCTGCATCAATTACCTCATTGTGTAAACATGCAGTAGCATTAAACATGTGTGGGATAAGACTGAACCTACCTACAACTGTCACTGTAAAATAGCCTCAGGGTCTCGTTGGATTTAGCGAGGCAATCATGTAATTACAAATGCAGCATTACCAAAGGCCTCAGAACATTGAGCTCAAAGTCTTGCACCTCCAAAGGTCATCGCATTCTGCTAATTCTGTCAATAATTTTTTTCCCTGATAAAAATTGTTTACATTTTGATTTTACTGCAATACAACCCATATGGTTCACTTTTACTGTGGTAATCCTATAGTATGCAAGATTTTACATAATGCTACAGTACTTTTGATCATATCGATCTTCATTTCTGTGAATTTTTGGGCATTCAATCTCTGGTTTTAAACCAAAAGATCCTTCCTTTTTCATACTTCTGCCAGCAATGCTTTTGGAGCTGCAGTTCCTCTTAACCATAATTTGTCAAATGCTAGTCTGGTAAATATACATGAAGTGGCTCAAGCTTGAATATTCTTTGCTGTTACAACACACATTAGTACTTACAACCATATCGAAACAGCACATTTAATGTGATAAAACATCCTATTCAACAGCAATTATCATTTCAATATTACAATGCATTGTTTATAAAAAGGTCTTGTTGAATTCTTGCCACTAATTTACAACGTGCAATATAACTACACAAGCTTGCAATCTTGCTTAAACAAACTCACATCCCCCTCCCCTCGATTTCTGCAAAATGCAGGTAAACCAAGTCGTTTTTCTTTTGTTTTTCAACTGTCAAAACCAATAGCTTCAAAGCTATACCCTCAGCTGGTGGCTGATTGATAGTTAAACCCATGAAAATGATGCTGAAGAATTACCTTGTCAATCACCCCAAGGACTCTGAAGGCCTTCAGCTCCTCTGCAGGACTCCTCAGGTTCCAAGCAGGCCTTGAACTTAGTGGTCCCGGAGGCTAATAGAAGATATCAAAGGTATCACATCAATCACTGAAACACTTAAAGGAAGATGGCCTACTGGAGCAAATGCCAAGTTATAGAAAACTAAATTTGTCACAGAACAGTTGTGGACAAGATCAAAAGGCAATCTCTTTCCGCTCCAAGCCTGTGTATAGCTCTGAGAAGAATCCCCGTAGAAGTATTTATTTGGTCAGGCTACAGAGTCATTATTAAGTTTAGAGAGTGGCAGCTGTTCACAAATATCAGCAATGCAATATTAACAAATGTGCTTTCTGGTGTGTGAATAAAATAGTGGCATCAATCAACAGAATCATCAGAACCTAGAAATGTAATCTATATCAGATACAAATATAACTGATGTTTAACTATAATACATGAGTAGAGCTTCAATCCTGAAAATTTACAGCTATTTAATCAAACTCCCACCCTAACTTCATTGGGATGGCAGTGGAACTGCTTGAAACTCAGCTGAGAACTGAACAAGCTAGATCCCAGCACTACAGCCAAGTGACCATTGCAACGTGCTGGGCCCCATGGACACATTGCATTCGGCATTCCCACACTCTAGGCCTTCAGTGGGACTATACATACAGCCAGTTACACCAGGCCCACTTACCCAGCCATCAGTTGGAGTGGAGCCGTCAACAGGAGAGTAGGTGATTTTTTTTTTAAAATGTTATTAAGACCATACATTTTCTGGGGTTGCTTTGTGTTGTCTCTGAAGGAAAAGAACGAAACGTAAAAGGAATTGGGGGAAAACCACCCTCTTGCCAACAGAAGTCACCCAAGCTTTGACCCCAGTGCCACTGGCATTGCCATTGCCAGGTAAATGAAGGGGTGTTTCCACCACCTATTACTCCGTTTAAAAAAAAATCCACAGGTAAAGGTCAAATGGAAATGTACCGCTACTTTGCAATTCCGGGCCCAGGTCTTCAGCTCAGCGGTGGTGTTGTGCACAGCACTATTGTCTGCGAATATCTCAGTGCTCTCAATGACATTGCAGCAGCAAGGGGTCAGCAAAGCTTTTCAACTGCAGGAGCAGCAGCAGGGGAGAAGAGAGACAACCAGCACCTTTTTATGGCTCAGGCGTTTTTTTTTAAAAAAGTGGCTTCAAGTCTTCAGTAGTTTGAGTGTGAGGGGAGGCGTGAAAGAGCACAAGCAGACATGGAAGAGTATGGGGAGCAGGGAAAGGGAGCGAGACTGAGAGGTGGGGCGTTGAGGGTGAGACTGTAAGGGAGGGAGTGAGCGATAGGACAGAATCAGGTGAAATCAGGGTCCGGGGTGTTGTCAGGTTGGGCTGGTTTGGGGAAGGTGGTTGATTCTAGTACATTGTAGCACACAGTCCATTTATTCTGGCTTACAAACAAGTAGCCAGGAAAGTCCCACATATCTGGCCCTGGTTTCTGACTGTAAGCTCAGTGTCAGGGCTTTTGAGCAGTGCGAATTAACCCACTGGAACTTTTTCTATGAGCAGCAACCCAATCCCAAAAACAGATTATCTGATCATTATCACACTGCTGTTGTCAGAGATTGCTGGGTACAAATTAGTTACTGTCTTTTCATAATAACAGTTACAGTACTCCAAAATTGATCTCCATATTTTGTTAAATTCATTCACAGAATGAGGGTATCACTGGCTAGGCCAGCATTCATTGTCCATCCCTAATTGCCCAGAGGGCAGTTAAGAGTCAATGGCATTGCTGTGGGTCTGAAGGAACATGTAGGCCAAACCAGGTAAGGATGGCAGTCTCCTTCCCTAAAGGACATAGGGAAATTGAGTTTGTAGCATCTTTAGGAGGTCATGAAAGGTGTGTAATATCATGTCTTCCTTTCAATTTTCACTATGGACATCATGGACAACTACATGTTTTCCACTTTGTGGATTACCACACAACATTCTTAATCAGAATGCTACAAGGACCTTTGGAACATCGTCCAAGGCCCCAAAACTTGAACTATGAATTCTGATTGGCAGAATTAGTGAATCCTAGTTTCTCTGTCGATCGCTCCTCATTAATAGAGATACAACTGATGCACAAGAGTTCACTGAGGTTTGCTGCATTATAGCAGGCATTAGGGATGGAATGCAATTGTTTGCTATCACTGAAGGCTCCAACATCAGAAGCCTGGAAACGATAGAATCTTTATTAATAATTAGAAATCAGTTTCACGAAGCAATGCAGAGGGTATTCCCAGATACTGGTATTAAATTTCAAGATGGTAATTTTTGGAACAATTACAGCAATTTTTGGAAAAGCTCAGAAGGTCTGGCAGCATCTGTGGAGGGAAATCAGAGTCAAAGTTTTGGGTCCAGTGACCCTTCCTCAGAACTGGAGCTGAAACGTCAACTCTGATCTCTCTCCACAAATACTGTCAGACCCAATGAGTTTTTCCAGCACTTTCTGCTTTTGTCTCTAGTTTCCAGCATCCACAGTTCTTTCAGTTTTTACTTAAACTTATTTTGGGAAGTATGGTTTCACTTGCAATGTGAATTTTGAGGGAACAAAAGCTGCAGTCTTTGAAGAAGATCCTTAAAATGCATTACTTGTCTCTCATTAGGAATATCTTTACAGTTCAGTTTGAGACAAGGCAAAGATAAGTGCTTTTTGGAAGTGGATGATTTGAGTCTATTCCCTTCAGCTTTGCCTGGTCTTTCCTGAGCCCAGCCCTTCCCTCCACATTTTCAATCATAATCCTTCTCAATCTCACACTTGTTTATTTAGTTGCATTTTCAGGAAAAAAGTTGGCAGAAATAGTTAACAGAAAACATTTTGGTCAAGCAGGACACAGTCCAGAGACTGAATTAATCTGATTAGCTGCAATAGATTGCCAGCTTTGTACAAAACAGAGACCACGTAGCAGATGTGTGCATAAAATCAAGTCAGAAAATCTCCAAAAAACAGCGAATCATAGAATTTCCACAATGTGGAAACAGGCCATTCCACTCAACAAGTCCACACAGACCTTCTGAACAGCATCCCACCCAGAGCCATCCCCTACCCTATCCCTGCATTTCCCATGGCTAGCACACCTAACCTAACATCCTTGAACACTATGGACAATTTAGCATGGCCAATCCACCTACCTTGCACATCTTTGGACTACTACAGAAATACTACAGAGCAAAATTTTGAAAATCATTTTTTTTTTCCAGTTTTTACATCTCCTTTCAGTAGGGCAAGATGGAAACCCAACCAATGCTTACAGCGGTGGAAAGGCACTGATGGTGATAATGGAAAGGAGCGTCTTCACACTAAACAAAGATCATGTGACTTCCTGTTGGACAAGAACACCATTGCAATTCCCCTAGCTGCAAATACACACCTTATTCACAGCATGTTGCGGAACAAATACATTTATGAATTAATTAGATGACATTGCAGTTAAAAGTATGCAGTTCTGCTATGGTAGGGATCCAGTCAGACCAAACATTCGAAATGCAAGTGTGGAATGAGTTGCCAGAGGTGAAGGAGATGGGTACAGTTACAACATTTAAAAGGCATCCAATGGACACATGAATAGTAAGGGTTTAGAGGGACATTGGCCAATTGCTGGCAAAAGGGACTAGGTCAGATTGGGATGTCTGGTCGCTGCAGATAAGTTGGACCGAAGGGTGCGTTTCTGTGCCGTGGGAATCTATACACAGCAGCTATTTTAACAATTCTGAACTAGACTAGTAATTGAGGCACTTTGCAAAAGACTGTTACTTAGAAGGCGACATACAGCTAAGACATTAGGTCACTTGACACCAGGTTCACCTGTCCAAAGTAAGGTTAGTGCAGATGTCTGCCCCTTATTGTGAATTTTGAGGGATTTTTCCTGAGGAATCTTAAGTTGAGCCAAGTGAACAGTAAGCATAATTTTCAATCAATTGAAAACTTGTCCATGAAATTTGGATATGTGGAATATCCTTTATTTGCATTGATTAATTGTCCACATTCAGCATAATACCCAGACAGACCAAAACTAAGTGCTACCATAACTAAAAAACAACACAATAAACGGTGAACAACCAACAGCAAACTCAATTTGAACACTGGTGCTTATTTTCCATTTCCTTTTTAATTTTAAACTGAGGCATAATCTTTGACAACCAGATCCACAGGAAATGAAGGCTGGATTTTACCATAGTTCAATTTCAGACAAATTATGGGCTATATTTCTCATTAACTAAAAAAGTACAACTATTATCTAGTTGGATCTTTGTAAATTAAACATAAGCTTATATCAGAAGATAAGCTTGTAGCACAACGATGTGGAATACTTTATAATTAAGAGTAGATGTTTATTCTAACTTACTTTCATAAGCAACGTGCTTTACATATGGACGATATATCAATATGGGGGTGGTTATCTCAATTGTCTAGATGGTTAGATTGTGCTGCCAAATCAAGCCAACAACATTGGAGGTTCAAGCCCTGTTTGAGCTGTGGTAGTTCATGGAGGCCTGCCTCTTTTTCTTGCTCCATGCCCCTCAAAGTCTTCTAATCTACCTGTTCAGAGATGTAACGAAAGAGTCAGCAGGACTTCAACCCAGGTCTCCTGGTTCACAGGTAGGAATACTACCACTGCACCACAACAGTCCTCTCTCCTCAAAATCTGCGGCTAAATCCCATACCAATGAGGTTCAATTCATCCAGGCCAGGGCATCAATTAGGACTTTACAACTGAATTCAACATACCTATCTGGATTCCAGCTATCAAATAACAGGAAGCAATCACAGGCTGAAACTAGGATCTCCCTGAATCATTTGATAAAGTTCCAAAGTCCTTAGCAGAGCCACATACTTTTAAAACAGAAGTATTCTTGGGAGGTGCATCTAGAAAGAAGTAACTTCCGTTTTCAAAGCATAAATCAAAAGTATTGCAGATGTTGCAGAAGTGAAATAAAAACAAAAAGTAGAGAAACTCAGCAGGTCTGGCAGCATCTGTGGAGAGAGAAACCGAGTTAACATTTCAAGTTCAATAGAACTCTTCTTCAGAACTTGCATTTAGAAAGAACCTTCAGCATAGCAATGTTCATGTTTAATCTTTGCAAGAATTTTTTTTAAAGTTTGTATTCATACAGTATTTTTAATGAAACATCCCAAAGTTTCACAGAAGAATTTTAAAACAAAATTGATATAGCCACACAAGGAGACATTAGGATGGCTAACTAAAAGGTTTGGTCAAAGAGGCAGGCTTTACAGAGTACCTTATAAAAGGAGGAATGGGAGGTAAAGAGTTTAGAGGAATTTAGGGAGAAGAGTCCTACATGTAGATGCAGGGTAACAGATACCACAACTGCCAATGGTAGAAATATTAAAATTGGGGATGGTCACTAAGCCAGAATTAGAGAAGTAGATATCGCACATCATTGTCGGGTTTGAGAAGATTACAAAAATAGGAAGAGGCTACGCTATCAAAAGGAATCTGAAAACAAAAATGAGAATTTTACAATCAAAGTGTTGCTTAATGATAGACAACGAGTGTAGGGGCATATATTTAGTGCAAGACAAGACATGAGGAGCAGAACTTTGAATGACCAAGTTTATGGGGTATAGACTGGAGATGTATTAGTATACTCAAAGTTGGAAGTAACAAAGACATGGATGAGGGTTTCAGCAGCAGAATAGATGAGACAGTGGCAGAGTTGGCGACATAAGCAATATTAGTGACAGTATGGATAATGTGGTTGATAACTGATTTTGGGGTCAAATATGGCACCAAAGATTGTGAACTTCTTGGTCATTGGCTAGGGAGATAAATGGAATTGACAGTTAGAACTTCAATTACGTTAGGGACCAAAGACAATGGCTTCTGTCTTCCCAATGTTGAATTTGAGGAAATAGGGAGCTCTGGGGAAAATGGGCACATTTGAGAAGTGACATGTTAAGGTACTATATGCTGAGTATTTGAACATCAAACAAATAATAATTTAAATGCAATAGCAATTCAATACTTGTAAACAATATGGAAAAGAAATATGTGCACTTCTATTGTTCCTTTTACAATCTCAATACATCCCAAAGCCCATGAAGGATTTGGAAACGTAATCATTGTCATAATGCAGCAATACGCCAGCTAACGAGCACACAACCAGCTCCCAAAAATAAGAGTATGATCAACTGATTATAACCAACGTCACTGAAACGGATAAAGCAAATCCTTATAAATGGTATTCTGAAAATTGAACAGAAATATATTCCTATCAATAAGTTCTCAAAATATTGCATAATGCTTTTAAAATCAAAGGTAGATTTCAAAATTCCTCAACTATGAGCAGTAGGTAGGAGGGAAAAGGGTTTCCTTGTATGAAATGATCCTTGACGCCATCTCCTGATAAGATTGAGAATGAAACTGATTAATCTTTCATTCTTCATTCTAGGAAACTATTTCTCACCATCCACTCAAAGCGGCAAACTAAAATTTTAGAATATTCTCTTATGAGGTGCTTCAAAAATACAAACCTTGGACTTAAATACTGACCTGCTCAAAAAAAGGGAATTTATAAAAAGAGGACATTAAATAAATGTGTGATAACACATAATGCTACCCTAACTCTAATCCAAAGGTCTTTCTGACTTAATTTATTAAAACATTTACTTTTTATTTTACAATTCAGTTGGTTTGATCATGACTTTCTCTGCATTCCATAATAGGATTTTATTTTTAACAGTTTTAAAATGCTAAATAATAATGGGAAATTGGCAGCACAATATCACTAATTATAAAATGGCAAAATCTGCAAATGGCAGTTTGGCGCCTGCTCTCAGTGGGCAAATTACTCAGGCACCTTCCCAACAGCAAGCTACAAAACAGTGTTGGCAAAGACTTTGGAACAGGTCGCCTGCCTGCCACTCAGCCAATAAATATGGGACAGAGCAGGCTGAGAACCTGAGAAAGATTCTGAGAAAATTGATCTAAACATGGAGAAAACAAAGTTTTACAAAAAAAAATGGCATTTATTTTAATGATTAACAATTTATTACTAAGCATTTGATCTGAGTAAACTGCACTTTAAGATGCATACAAAGAGAGCATAATCACTGGGGCACTTGTGTATAAAGAAAATTACCTTGGCAAGTCGCAGAATAGATTTTCACAGACATTAAAAATTCATTTAATCGACATATTTTGACACTGTTCCCTAATACAAAGGAAGTGCAGACATACCATTGAATCAACTGAATCATTTTCCATGGACGTCTTGAGATACTGCGTGGAAATCTGTTCTGCACGTATTAAATACTCTGCAGTCTTCCTTTTCACGGCTTCTCGGCGACTAGGGCTCGGTTCGCCTAGAAGCACAAGATGGATGGATTAAGAAAGACTTCAATATACTAGAAGCGCTACGATGTATACCCCTCCAAGTCTAGAACAGGTTGAAAATTAACACAGCAATTATAAAGTAGTAGAGTAGCTTATACACTGGATTATATGGTAGTCAGTTTTCAAATTGAAGCTAATGTCACAAATGGCACAAGTAATTACCATCTGTGGAAACAATATACTTTTTGGCCACATCACCACACATTGGCTACAGTACTCAGGTTTATTAATGCAAAATTCAAAGGTTTCATCTGTCAATCATTGGAGTAGAACTTTCTTTATTGTACACCGCCTCTTTTCAATTATGGTCTCAACTGGTTTTTCCTGTGTCTAAATATTTCTAACTATCGTCTAATGGGACTTATCAAAAGACAATAGACGTAGTCTGTTCTGTCCTGTCTAATAGTTCTGCAGAGCAGGTTCTGAAGCAAGTCATTATGTACTGTATACATTGTAGACAGTATACTGTATGGTAGGCAAAATCATTAATTATCCCAAACCTTCTGTTTATTCTTCCTGGGATGTCGGCATCACCAGCTAGACCAACATTTATTGCCTATTCCTAATTGCCCAGAGGGCAGTAAAAAGTCAACTATATTGCTGGAGGTCTGGAGTCACAGAGTTCAGGTAAGGATGGCAGATTTCCTTCCCTAAAGGACATTAGTGAACCAGTTGGGTTTTTCCTGACAATCAACCATGTCTCCATGGTCATCATTAGACTCTTATTTCCAAAATATTATTGAATTGAAATTCCATCATCTGCCATGGTGAAATTCAAACCCAGGTCCCCAGAACATTACTTGGGTTTCTGGATTAATAGTCACGAGACAATACCACTAGGCCATCGCTTACCCTTGCACACAAATCAATTTGCATTTTGTTTAAAACCATAAAAGAAATGTCCTGGTGACTGTAAATTCTTCTTTACTAACAGTAAATCTGTAATGAATGCAAGCATTTGCAAAAACCTTAACTATTATAACTGGGCTCTTTGCTGGCTGGAGTGCATTTGTAGTGGGCCACATTTATACTGGTAGTCCCATTATAGATGTAAAAGACAAATTATTCACAAATAGGAAAATCTTGCATATACATAGCATGCTTTGCAACCAATGCATGTCTCAAAGGGCTTTACAACCAACAAAGGCTTTATAAAAAAAAATTGCAATGTAATGTAGAAAACATGCCAGCCAACGTACATTATAGCAAGGTCTGTCAAACACCATGTGATAATGATCAAATGGCCAGGCTGTTCTGTATAGCTACAACACCAGCATCTACTCAACGATAGCTGTTGTTTTGTGCCACTTTGAACACTGTGGTGTCAAGGAAACGTAAGCTTGTTGTGGCTTTAGGTTTAATGGAAGGTTGGTCATTATTGAAGATATTAATGAATTCTTCCAATTCTGTTTGAGAGTGCTAATATCCCATATGTCAATACAAATGTGGAAGATAATGTTACTAAGTGACTATATTTCACCCAATGAATGAGTCAGTGAGAGACTGATAAAGGCCTAATCTGAATCCTTCCAATCAAGTTTCCACCCCTGCCATGATACCAGTACAGCTCTGAGCAAAGTCATAAATGACCTCTTATGTGACTGACAAATGCAAACTATTCCTCCTCTGCCTTTTTGATCTACCTGCTGTCCTAGACACAGCGTCTCCCTGCACTGTTATGGGCATCACCAGCTAGGCCAGCAGAACTGCTGTTCTGTGCTTATGCATTTCATCCGAGCCACAGAATCACTTACAATGGCTTTGGTCATAAATGTGTAGCTAAAATATTACATAAAATGTTACATACTTTGTAAAGAAAGCTAATTTGGCTTTAAAATGGACACGGAGTCTTACAAATGACCTTTGCAGCCAGTCTGTGTTATCTTGAGAAACAAATCAAAGGTAATTAAAATAATTCAAGGATTCCACAACTGTTCAATGAATCCTCAAAAAGGTGTGAAAACTCAAAGCATCTGTAGTGTTAAACAAGAGGCAGGAAAGACATCACAAGGAATTCCATCATAATTGATTTTGCATTACAGAACAATGGTTCATAAATTTTACATTTATATGCATTTCATTTGATTTTGATAAAAGCTGACTGAAAATAATCATTTAAAGAGAACCATCTGAAAAGCCTAAGAAAAATATGTTGAAATTGCAACTGTTTCTCAACAGGGAAACAGAAGTAGGCATTCAGACAAACCAGTTAAAGGTCATTGTATTGGACCAGGCTACCAAGAGCCAAAACCTGCAATGCTGCAAAATTGACACAAAAGAGCCTTGATTCACTCCGAGGACCTGTGCTGCTTTGTCTAAAATGTGTTAGCAGCCTCCAACTATTCAACTGCAGAAGCCATTGCAGCTTTGGAACCTGACTTCAACCATTTCGCTTCAGAAAGAGAATCTTCAAGCAAGCCAGGTCCACAATGACATTAGGGACTGGTCTCATTTTCATAAGCAACTTTAATCCTCACTTTGAATCTGTGTGTCTATCTTTTAGCTAATAATATTTCCACCTTGATTCAATCATCATTCAGTAACAGTTGTACAATAAACTAACACTTCATCTGATTTAAACCATTAAGCTGCATTTCTAGGTTTTTGAAACAGAACAATTGACAATTAAGAGGTGGCTACATACAAGTTTACACAAGCTATTTGTTCATGGACTACCTTGGGGAAAACACCTTTTATGTGGCTGTGGTACACACTTCATACTTTACATTATTATCTTTGTGCATCCCCCACCCCCCACAAAAAAAAACCTATCCTCGGCGATAGTAGGAACTGCAGATGCTGGAAAATCTGAGACAACAAGGTGCAGAGCTGGATGAACACAGCAGGCCAAGCAGCATCATAGGAGCAGGAAGGCTGACGTTTCGGGCCTAGACCCTCATCAGA